AGTAGGGTTATCTTAGAGCCCTGAGAACTAATAAACCTTGAGTTTTTGCTCTTTAATTGTGCCTTGATGAACCAACTACTAGCAAAATTTCCCCAGTTGAAAATATACTGGGGTGAAGAAGGACAAAAACCTACCTGATTGGTACAATGAACACTATTCAAATGATGGGCATACATTTATAGACCTGACTTCAAGCATTATGAAAGCTATTCATGTACAAAAAAAAAATATATTCCCTTGATTTTTTGAAATGAAAAATTAAACTATCAAAAAGGGTTGTGAAAATTTATCTTTTAACATCTCTTAACAAAATATACATTTTAATAAACTATCCATTATAGAATGATCATTAAAGGGTGAAGAAGCTTTAGCAAACAAGTAATACAAAAGGATGTTAAGGCAGTGTGATGTGACTCAAACATAATCCTAGCACTCTGGGAGGCCAAGGCAGGTGGATCCTTTGATCTCAGGAGTTCGAGACCTGCTTAAGCAAGAGCAAGACTTCATCTCTACTAAAAATAGAAAAATTAGCGGGGCATTGGGGAGGGCACCTGTAATCCTAGCTACTCTGAGGCTGAAGCAAAAGAACTGCTTCAGCCTAAGAGTATGAGGTTGTTCTGAGCTATATACCACGGCATTCTACCCAGGGCAACAGAGTGAGACACTGTCTCAAAAAAAAGATAAGATGTTACATCGAGCACTATCTGAACCTGAATTTCCCTGTGAATTTCCTTTGGCCCTACTCATACTTCACTAGTCATAGCCGAAAAGCTTAATATTTGCAGGCAATTCCCTCCTATTTCTCATTAATGTTCAAAACGTGCTTATTTCTACAGAAATTACACCTCTGCATCCCAGAAATTGAACCTAATCTGGATCCTGTATTGTTGTTATAGACTTGCTTAGATTTTATGTTTAACTCTTTGTTTTATGTAAAATTAAATAGAAATAAAATGGTCAAAACACTAGATAATATCAGTCATAGTAAATTTAAATATGTCATTTAAACTTCTTCTCAATGGCTGAGCAGTGTCGCATACCTGTAATCCTAGCACTTTGGGAGGCAGAGGTGGGTTGATTGCTTGAGCTCAGGAGTTCACTACCAGCCTGAGCATGAGCACGTCCCCGTCTCTACTAAAAACAGAAAACTATCGGGGGCACTAAGCAGGTGCCTGTAGTCCCAGCTACTCAGGAGACTGAGGCAAGAGGATTGCTCAAGACCAAGAGTATGAGATTCCTATGAGCTATAATGCCACAGCACTCTAGCCAGGGCAACACAGTGAACTGTCTCAAAACTAAGTTAATAATAAACTTTTTTTCTAGCATGGACCCTACATTCATTCATTCAATCAATTCACTAAATAGTACTTAATCAGACAGAAAAGGAATATTTCAAATAATTCAACCAACAAAAGAATGAATACTCAAGGAAAACATCCTGCTGGAGGAAATATCCACTACTGACTTTATTTTTTCCCTTCTTTTACAAATTTAGGGTGTTGAAGTCAAGCACCAGATAGAGAGGCTATACCAAATGTTATTCAAGATCCCTTCAGAAATCCAATGTTCTGACCTAGCACTTCAGGAGGCTGAGGCAGGTGGATTGCCTGAGCTCTGGCGTTCAGGACCAGCCTGAGCAACAGCGAGACTGTCTCTAAAAAAAGTAGCTGGGCATTGTGGTGGCCACCTGCAGTCCTAGCTACTGAGGAGGCTAAGGCAAGAGAATCGCTTGAGCTCCAGAGACTGAGGTTGCTGTGAACTATGATGCCACAGCACTCTACTAAGAGTGATAGCTTAAGACTCTGTCTGAAAAAAAAATCTGACGTTTCATTAAATTTTTGCTATGAGGCCAGGCACGGTGGCTCATACCTGTAATCCTAACACTCTGGGAGGCTGAGGCAGGTAGATTGCCTGAGCTCATGGGTTTGAGACCAGCCTGAGCCAGAGCAAGACCCTATCTCTAAATAATGGCCGGTCATCGTGGCAGGCACCTTCAGTCCCAGTCTCAGCTACTCAGGAGACCAAGGAGAGTCACTGGAGCCCTGGAGTTTAAGGTAGCTATGAACTATGATGCCATGGCACTCTACCAAAGACGACAACATGAGACTCTGTCTCAAAAACATACATAAATACATAAATTTTTGATATGAAATGGCTATTTTATCAGCATTACTACACCAAATAAGCACGTTTTTAAGTTAACAATAGCAGAATGGAATGCGTTTAAAAGAATCCAATAAACTGGCTCGGCACCTATAGCTCAACCGGCTAAGGCGCCAGCCATGTACACCTAAGGTGGCGGGTTCGAATCTCCAGCCTGGACCCGCCAAACAACAATGATGGCTGCAACCAAAAAATAGCCGAGCGTTGTGGCGGGTGCCTGTGGTCCCAGCTGCTTGGGAGGCGGAGGCAGGAGACTCGCTTGAGCCCAGGAGTTGGAGGTTGCTGTGAGTGTGATGCCATGGCACTCTACCCAGGGGGATAGCTTGA